GTCTGTCCAGCTTGAAAGCAGAGGGACAGGGAGCAGATTCTGGAATGAAGGAACAGGAAGACGGCCCAGCAGGAGGGACTTGGCGTATTTACAGCAGAGGCATTGAAGAGATGCTGTTGAACAGGCTTTTTTTTATGTCTTTGGGAAGTTCATATATCTTTTAGTAGAATCCACATAATACTTGTCAAAGTCAACATGAGAAGGAGAAAGAGAAGTTCAAAGACAAACAGGCTCAAGCCGAGCAGCGTTACCATGAGAAATGACCAACTGAAAGCAAAACTCAAATCCTCGCTCATTTGCGACAGACACCTCGATTATTATTGTAATGCCCCACTGGAGGCCCGAGGTTCCGGCCATGCCTAATCAAACCCTTCCAGCACATAAGGCAATTGATATTAAGATGAAAGATATATGGCTCTCCAGACATCATCAAGACCACGTATAATCACCAATGACAAGCAAACTAGGAAGCTCTGACCCATATACGATATGCAACATATGCATACACAACACTAGACCACCATGGTATCTTACATTGTACGCAAGCTACTTCTCCAATACATAGCAGAGTTATGAATCTGTAAAACTAATTTAAATCAGGCCTAAATACACTTCATTCCTCACCTGAAGCGTTAGTTCACATTATAAAATGCAACAATGTTTCGCTTCAGTACTTGGAATTTCCTTCTCCCTGCCAGCTCCCAAACTGTAGTCAGCTAGTGGCTAAGCCTTCCAATTGTGAGAAGTATTTGCACCATCTCATTCTGCCAGAGGGCCATGAGCCCACAGACCATATCCTCTGCTGCTTAAAGGAACTGAACAATTCTTCCACGTAACATCTGGCATATACAATATCCTTTGTAGTTAATGTTTCTTCAATACTTTTTCAATATATCTAACTTCTATGTCCAAACAAAAGTCATTTCGCAGCTTCCATTGACAATATTAAAGTTTAACCTATTTGATGAATCATGTCTGACCAAATACAGCTGGAGAATGATTTGGCAGAACATCAGTAACATTCACCAGTTCTAATTGACAAAATTTAGTCAATCCTACTTGCTACGTCTAGTAATTTTACTTTTTCTAACAAGAGGGGGAAAACTGGAGTAAACTGCTTTTTCCATTACTTTATAGTGCTTCCAGGCTTCTAGGTACCAAAAATTCTACTTTTTTTTTATTCCTCCCTTTACTCCTGTGTCTGTTGTTCTACCTTCACCTGAGTTCTTCTCAAGTAACCTCTGTGCTGCTTAGAGACTTTTTGCGTCCAAAAGAACGACGTGAACTCAGTTCATCTTAAATGTTCAAAAGGACTGGGGAAACGAGTAGGAGAAATTGTGGATATCCACTTTTTCTTCTGAATTCCGCAAAACCATTGAGCAGCAGCAGGAGAAGCACAGGAATATCTACCCGCAGGCTTAACAGTAAGTAGTGAAAACCTGGTCACATTTGTATATTTTCAGAAACAACATAAGCTAGATAGTTTCTTCTTAATGAATGCACAAGTTTAAGCAAAAAAGCGCTAGCTAATGCTGTGACTGTTTTTCTTATTCAAACTAATTGTGCAGATTCTCTTCTCTTTGTACTACAGGAACACCAAACTGAAATGCCATTCAAATAGAGGAATTTTTCTATTAGAACCTCCTCATACCTATAAAGCAGCTAGGAGAGGTTAGTCCAGTTAGTGTGTTGCAACAAACAAAGGAAAAGCGCACACATCTGCGAACTCAGAATTTGTCAGTTAAGTGGAAATGCTGGTTTGCAAGCAAATTTATGGACAAAAGAAATTCACCAATCGCTTAAGATTTTTACTCTAAAACAAACAACCCCCCAAACTCTGAAGACTAACTAGAGCCTTTCACCTTAAAAAGGTAAATTCCACCTTCGACTGGGCCAGTCAAAAAAACAAGGCCTCAGGCTTAGGCCTCAATTAAAAAAAAAAAAAGTGTTTAATATTCCATTCTATACTTCACCTACAAAAATAAAAAGCTGCTTACCTGCTTAACTGTTGTGTTTATTATTGCTGTGAAAATTAAGAGTACAAATGATTTTATATTTCTGTAAAACAGCCTGCATATTAGTAGTTACCTATTTTAATGGTAACGCATCCTACTTGGGCTGGTTCGCAAAGCATCTGCTGAAATAATCTCATCCAGGCATGCTCAACAGGACAACTCCTTGGGTCTGCCCAGGCCAGCATGAGCTGACCCAGGGCCAGCCAATCAAACCACCATTCCTTGGCTGGCTGCAGGCTCAGCGGTCTCATCAGTGAGCCAGCCAGTTGCCCAGGGAGACTCAGGCTCCCCTTCAGCCAGGCTGCCCTTACTACTGTTCAGTCACCTGAAGGCCAAAGGAAGAGGTGGTAGAGGATAAATGAAGGATTACAGTCTCCTGAAATGAGGGGTAGATGAGGAAAGGCTGCAGAAAGAGTGAGATGGAGTGAAGCTGTTGAAGAAATAGGGAAGTAATGTTTCTTTGGGCTTGCCCTGATAATTGGGACTTTCTAAAAGATGGCTTATTAATTCCTGGCAAGCGTGTAGTCAAAACTTCTCAAAGTAAGGTCATTATCTATAATAAAGCGGACACTAGGTCATTAGCCACATTCTCAGTGTGATGAAAACTGACTTCAAGCCTTTTCTATTTGCCGCACATTACAAAAGCACCTAATCACAAAGCAGTCTTGATATTAGACCATATGTCATAGGCTCATCCTTGCAAGATACAAGAAGACATTAGAACACCTGAATAACTTTCGGCTTACTCAGTACCTGAAATCTTCGTATTTTTATTAAATATTTTCGGTTTAAAAAGTGAACAAAATAAAAATTGCTTTGATCTACCGAAATCTGCTTGGACTGGGGCAGACCTTCATCTTTGCTCACTTGGACTAAATTGCGAAGCTTTATCCAACATACGCGTACTATGCCAGCATTTTCCTCAAAAGCAACACTTACTCTTCTCTTGTTCCTGCCCTCCACACAAATACCCAGGCAACCATGCACTGGCCACAGAAAAAAATTAGCTGGTTTTAAACACAGAGGGACTCCTTGAGTCAGTTCATCTTGCAACTACAGACGTCATCCTCAATGCAAAGGAAGATGAGTAAACGAGCAACAAGCCTATTACCTTCCCAGCTGATTACACACCAAAAATTACATGCTTAGAACAAGGCTAACTCCCAGGTAGGACTGACTCTTTACAAGTAGAAGCAAACTGTACAGTTCATTCTGTCTGTTCTTCAACCCTAACTGAAGTTGCAGGCCCCACAATAGATGCCTGTATGTATTTGTAGGAATTTCTAGCTCCACAGTTTTATTTCACTTTCACGAAATATTTTGAAAAAAAAAGAAGTGACAGTCAGATTACACACACACACCACTTAAAGAGTAGAAGATTACAGAGCAGTAACTGCACTGTTATTTCAGAAGAAATAATTTCACAGTAGTTGTCTAATTCCTGATCTCTGGAAGGATGCAACAGAGCGCTCCAAGCCTCTTCAAAGGCAGACATAAGCTTTTTAGAAAAAACTGACTTTTTTTGAGAGAGAACAATATAGCGCTTGACAGAAATAATAGAATCTTCTAAACAAGGTCACAGAAACCAGTCACTAACATAAGTTATCATTTTCCATTCACCCCAGCTCCGTAGAAACACAAAGATTCCATAACACTGGATCAAAGATAAAACAGGTTTCTTAAGATATAAGTTTAGTTACCCACATTTTTTGTGGTATTTTGCCAGTGCAATATCTTAGTTTAACTCCAAAAATTAGGTCTATTGTCCAATTTCTAGCACAGTTCGTTTCAGTCACATATGCCGGTTGCTGCCCAGAAAAAAACAACTACTGGACTTCTAACGAGAGTTTGTAACCAAGTTAAACTTTGAAAAGACTTGAGAGGCTTCATCATTCTTCATTGCCTCCTTTGAAAGTCATCTTCCCCAAACAAACAAATCTGATTACCGTCTAAGGCAAAAAAAAAAACTAGTTAAAAAACCAAAAGCAACGAAGGGTCAGAAAAGCTAAGGTAGATAACACACGAATGAATGAAGTGGCCGCGGGGGTATTTTTCAAGAAGTTGCCTGCTCGCCTGCCCCACTGAGCCTGGCGAGTACGAGCTCTCGAGGGAGCCCCTCGCTCCCAGCTGCGGGGGAGGCCGCGGGACCCTCTGCACGGGGCAACCTTTCGGCCCGGCCGCAGCTCCACCGCCCCCGCGGCACAGCCCCGGAGCGGGCACCCGCCCGACCCGCCCGCCGCGGAGAGAGAAAAGCGGGC